TCGTAAATCCTGTTGCATAGGTTTTCTTCAGTTGTTGTCACATGTTATTTTACGAAAGGTTATATATGAGAGAAATCGACCGGATCTACCTATCGATCAGTCATTTTTTAAATAGAATTGTTGTACTCTTCACGCATATGGGCAGCTTCAATTGGCGAATAACGTTGCATTTGCATTTAAGTCACAACTATTTGTGAGTAGTGGTGTGGGATAATTGATTTTTATTGATTTGAGCTGACTATCCTTCGGGTCAATTATCCCACATCATTACTAACAAGTAATTGTGAATTAAATGCAAAATATCAATCCAGTCTTGTAGGTTCGTTGGCGAATCGGTCCGTACCTGCATGGAAGTCCTGACTTGGTGGGAGGCTATCGATTGGAGTTAACAGATTGTAATCTGTGTCTCCCTTCGTTGCTGTCGGGCCAAAATTGAACTAACTATTATTTAAGACGACACCTGAACGAACATGAATTGGCAATTTGATTAAGCCATGGTATGAGCTGGTTGGCACAGCGGTAACACACACGCCTTCTATGCGATGGGTCCGGAGTTCCAATCCCGGACGGGACAGTGGTATGCTGATGAGCTCGAATAAGAGAGAAACTCGAGTGTAATGCTTCCGAGCGAATGGTTGAATCGGTGAACTGAGGATTGTGCGTGGACGTGAACTCCGAAGGATAGTCAGTTCAGATAAATAAGAGTAACATATAATGGCTCTAAACTCTGTTGAGTTCATTCATAATGATAAATTGTTGCCGATTCGCACAATTTAGCTAGTTATCAAGCGTTCACAGTGTGATGTTTTTATTCTGGTATTTGCTTCCAAACTAAGGTTTAATATTGGAGCTTTGAACCTTCTATGATTTGTGAAAGTGTTTTACTAACTCCTTTTTTTACGTGTATGCACACATACACCAATTTCGTCTAAAAAGGCCCATTAATGATCAGTGTTTTTCTCTATGCCAATTATCTGATTCAATGCCACCGGTTTGTCGAGGTTCATCAACTTTTTTGTTACCATGACTGTTTTATTGCCAGAAATATTGAGTAATTTGAAAGTTGCTTTGACGATCGATTTCAAAACCAAACGTTAAAACCCAATAACCATGCATGCGTTTTACTGGAGAAACATGTAATTATCACTAAGCATGTTAGGGACACAGATTAATGCTAGTTTTCAAGGAAGCGGTACTTAGTTGGTTTACGAAAAGACAAGCATTTCCTCGTGGTGTTCTGGGATCACAGAATTTGATAATTGTATTTGTACTACTACTACTGCTAGTGAGTAGCATAAAAGTTATTGAAGATAAAGTGCCCGGCTGGCATGGTTGAGCGTACCAGTCAATGATGAGGCAAAACATATCCACTCAACTGCAAGTTCCCATGAGTTCAATCTGAATTATTGTCTCTAATTGGAGTGGTTAACTTGTAAAGGGGAACTGAATCTAGGCAAAGCCGTCTAACTAATTTTCAATCATCCGGTAGACAGAAGTTCAACTTGAAATAAACGGAACTACAAACTGAGGTGTGGTTGACAGTAAATTTTTTCTAGCGCTGCTTGCGAATGATACCATTGAGCTGATAATTGAAAAAGTAAAATTTGTTTTCTTTCTGTCGATATTCGGGATAAGTAACAATTGAAAATTCTCGGTAACTATTTTGGAAAATAGAACAACGCTCAACCCTTAGACCAGGGTAATTTAGAAGCCGTTGTGAGCCATCACCTGACCAATCATGGTGCGTCATTGCATGCACGTGTCGGTCAAATCAGGTGGAGCTGCACATCAAACTGAGCCAAATTCGGAGTGATTTTCGATTTTAACTTTCATGAGAGCATTATGAATTGGTGCATGCAGTACAATGTTGGTATGGTAGCAAAGATTTCCACTCCCATTTTGTGTATGCATGAGAATGGAGACAGTTTATCAACTGCTTCCGAGAAACAGAAAATATTTGACTTTTAGGGGAAGACAAATGCTAAAAATGAACATTGTACCAATGGAGATTCAACGATTCTTACGTTACCACTCACAGCCCTAAAAAGATTTGTAACCAACATTCAGATCGATTTTGCTCTTGGAAGACGAATAGTAGATAGAGTTATGTAGTTTGGTCGTTTAACCGAATTTTTTATCTGTATTTGAAGCAAGCCTTTCCGGAGATCAATTTGAAAAGAAAAGACCAAATTGCAATACTGCACGATTTATGTCCAGGACGATTTCGCTGCATCTCATCATGGTGCATACTGCAGAAAATACAATACTTAAATAGGGATTTCGCATGGCAACAAAGATGAGTAAAATACAATGAAACAGAAAGAAAAACATAAAAGGGGGAGGGGTAAAAAAGACTATCACCAGGGTAAGGATAAACTAACATAAAGTTCTTTTGTTGACACAAGGGGGGCTTCCATCGACTGATAACAATCGCTTCTGCAAACCGTAGCAATCTTGCGGTTCGNACTTGTAGATAATTCGGAACGCCATGCTTCGGTCAATCTGGTGTTGCGTCATCAGAAGATGCCGAGCTATGGCTGACGACGGAGTCTTGTAGTTTCGACCGTTGATTCTATGTCGCGGACTTGACCCAGATTGCGTCATCCGACTTTGAACCCAATTTGGAATATGTTCAACAAGCCGGTTACGTAGTTGTCGCTCTATTCTGCCCACGTAGGTCGCTCCGCGCCCACATTGGAATTGGTAAATCAGATTAGAGTTGGCATAAAGAGGCAGACGTTCTTTTACCGGGGGTGTGGGTCAATATGTGTGGGCCAATATTTACACTTCGTGAGCTTTGCGCCCTTGGAGTATAAACGTGGTCTTGTTCGGACGCTATTCAACAGAACGAGGCGGATATGCACGAAAGATACAATCGAACAAGAATTACAAAACCTTCAGGAGGTGTTAACAGAAAATGCGTACCCCGAGGCGTTCGTCAATAGACACAACAAACCAAGAACTGTCAAAGAAACGATTGCGTCAGCCCCAAAATTACGAGCCACGTTGTGCCTCCAATTCAAAGGTGATGACGTATGCGAATTACTCAAAAAACGACTGAGATCGACAATTGCGCGAACCCACTATTCAGCTGACCCCCAAATCGTCTATCGGACAAGTAGAATACCCACACCCCCGGTAAAAGAACGTCTGCCTCTTTATGCCAACTCTAATCTGATTTACCAATTCCAATGTGGGCGCGGAGCGACCTACGTGGGCAGAATAGAGCGACAACTACGTAAC